AAAAAATAAAATTTGTTATCATAATATGATATATTATATATGATAACATTTTATTATTTAATTGAAAAAATTTACCTTTTAATAAACAATAATAATAATAATAATAATAAAAATAATATATCTAACAATTATTGTAATCTCGAATATCTCGGAAACGGTTTATTTTATCGAAGTTTAAGAGGTACACCTTTTTAATGGCAGCCGAACTTTGTAATCTAAAAATTGCCACAAATGTTATAAAAACCTAACCTCAAAGTTTGTATGGGACAATAAGCTTAGAGCAACCCCCGTTTCTACGATACTGTGTTCACTCAAACAATTATAATTATGTGTGAATGTGTTTTGGTAGTAGTTTCAAGACTACTACAGTGGAGGTTATAACCTATATAAATATTAAAAAAACTGATATGATAAGTAACACTTTATCACCCTGTATCTTGGAAACATAAGTAATTAGGAAAAATAGTTATTTGGGTTTTCGTCTTATTTTGACTTGCTCAATCTTTTCCTAAATTTATGCCAATAAGTTTAGGAACACCTTGTATATACTAGAAACCTGGATATTTCCACGTGTTTGAAAATTTGTATAACATTATAAATCATGAAGATTGCACAAATTTAAAATGTATACAATCATCATAGTGTACAAATTTTTAGGCAAGTAAATAGTAGAAAAAATATCTAGTTGAGCGTTTGCGCAGGAAAGTCCCTGTATACTAAAGGGTTTTTCATTAAGAGTAATAGATCTTTAATCAACGATGGCATTGTTATTTTAAAATATCCTGATGTCATTTTTTGACGCACGTATTCTAAAAAGCTTGTTATTTTATAATTTAGAGACACACAAGTGGTCAAAGAATCTAGATAATTCAAATGTATTATCGAAATAATATTCATCATCGACCAACAGAAGCCACCATTCGACGAATTGTGTCAAAATTTGAGACAACCGACTCAGTTACGAATCTTTTGCACAAAGTCTTGGGATTACACCCCTATAAGATCCAGTTGACCCAAAAGCTCAAGCCAAATGATCATCTTTTTAGTCGACGTTCTTCTAATTGGGCTCTAGAGCATTTAGAAGCAGACTCTGAATCCGGCCAGAAAATCATTTTTACCGATGAGGCCCATTTTAGGTTGAACGACATCGTCAATAAACAGAACTTTCGGATTTTGGGTGAAGCAAATGCACTAGTGATCGATAACGTCAACTGAATCCAGAAAAGATTACAGTCTGGTGTGGATTTTGGTCTGGCGGCGTCAGGTCCTTACGGAGAAGGTATAGAACGATGATACAGGATTTCTTTTGGCCTCGATTGGAGGATATGGATCTGGAAAACATGTTTTTTCAACAGGATGGCGCCACTTGCAATACAGCACGTGAAACACTAGACTTGATAGCAGAAAAATTTCCTGGGTCTGCAATTTTACTTAACGGACAGCGAAATCATGTGATTAAACCCCTTTGGATTTCTTTCTATGGGGGTATGTGAAGAGGCTGGTGTATGCAAATAAGCCTGGTACTATTGAAGTAGTCAGAGATGATATCCAATACATCATTGGAGAAATACAACCCAAACCAGAAAGTAATCCAAAATTGGGCTTCTTGAATGGACGCAACCCATCGAAGCCGCGGAGCCCATTTGCCAGATGTTATTTTCCACACATAATGTCATAATATGTTCTTTGATCTAAAAGTGAAACAAAGTCGTTACCTTGTGCAATTTCACTTCAAAGGTCCATCAGTCTTATTGAAAAACCTCATATATCAAAGGGCTTTTGATGTGTAATTTATAGAGTGAAAGTTTTAGTTATTAGTTGTTAATTACTTGAAACGATTAACAAAATTAACTTCTGAAACTGTTTCCCAGTGCATATAATTTTAACCATTATTAGGCTTTTTCTCATTCTTAAATTGGTTCTTATTTAAAAATATTATGTAACCCTTTTTACATCACACAAATTTTACCGAAAATATTGTATTGGTGGGTTTTTCGTTGGCACTTATTGAAATGAATTCTGGCGCAGCCGGGGCACGTGTGAAGCGACAAGGGGTTGCCAGCGGCATTAAAGTAGGGGTGGGTTTGTTATACGGGACCCGTGCTAATTGCCGCAGGCAGACTCGTCGACTACCTCTCGAGCTCACATCTGTTTGCATATGTAAGTATTATGTGTTTGTCGGCAACAAACTTGTTCGTCTCTCCCTTTCTTGCCCTTTCTCTCTCCACCAGGCCTGTTTATCCATCCCGTCGTTCTCTTATTCGTGTTATTGTTGCTAATTTAAATATTTGCCCGTGTTTGGCAGGATAACAAATCTGCGAATGCAATTTAATAAGGTGGTTTAAAGCTGTTATTCTACATTAAATTTTGCTGCGCGGCCTAAATATTAAGAAAATATAAATTTAACACTAAATTAATTCGTTAAGACTTTTTAAAACAAAACTTGGCTCCATTAGCAAGCAGTGTATCCAAAGTAATAATAATGAATATTTACTATTGTATTTTTGTATAGGTACATCAAATTTATTTAATACAATTGTTTACTATGAAGAAAACTCCCTTATTTATTGTATATTATGTATCCAGTTTTATAAACGCCATTTAAGACACGAATTTAATTTAGTTCTTAATTAAATGAGAAAAGTTTGTAAACGAGTTGCATACTTTTTCTACGACAAATACTTAATTTAAATTAAATATTAGCGACACCTATAAAACAATAGAGCCGGTGAAAATATCAAATTTTTATGTATAAATCGAAATGTATCCCTCGAAAATGGACCGTTTTATAGGCAATTCATGGTGGAGTCTCCACCCGAAATTAAGTTAAATCTAGTTTACTGCCGGGGTAATTAAATAGTCAATACAAAGTTCATACAAACTTTTTCAAATATTGGCGTTGAGAAACTATTTCATTTTTTTTTTATTTTTGTACTGAGATATAAGGTATAAAGCCAAAACATGTCAATGGTATTAAAAATGTCACTTAGTGTCATGGAAACATTAACGATTAAAATTAAAATGGTATTAACGTGTTTTTAATGCATTTTGCAAATTAACCGTCAATAATAGTATATTCTGTAACAAGTTTGAGATACGGCATATTCCGCTCGGGTGAAAAGTTTGTCACACGAGCCGGTTTCACGAGAGCGAAATATGCATTTGCAAACGTGTTTCAGAGTATACTTTTTGTACATTTCTAAAAAGATACCATAGAAAAATAATTTAATTGGTAGAAAGTGAGGTTCGATAACCGCCAGTGGTTATTCTGTCATCCGATGATAAAATAATTGATTCAGTAATACTTTAAGGAATAAAATATATTATGTCATTCCACATTAAAAATTGATATTAGGTGAGGAGTATAAAAATTAATTTCTGGCATTTTAATTTTGTCATTCTGAGTCAGTATGGCAAAATTATGTCAGAATTTCTGACCTTGACACTTATTCCAAAGTAACACATCTGGTTAAATTAACGTTAAATTAACGTTATGCATGGTTAATTCATTTGAGTAATATTGTACTATAAAGTTAAATTAACGTTAAACTAACGTTATGTTAAGTAAATTTAACTTTTTGGTTTATTTTACCCTTTTTAACTGATTAAAACACAGTATAAAAATAAAGCAGTTTAAGTTTATTTTAACTATACTGTACTAATATCTAATATCTAATATACATGACTTGTTTGCAGATCTGCGAAATAAAATGTCGTCTCTGAATATTAAAGAGATATTATTAATAATTATTAATTATAATTAGATATAACAGAAAAACCAATGAGGCATTTTAATTTTCTGATAAAGTTGTACATAATAAGTTCATATTTTAAATGCGCTTTGAAAATAATAGGAATAAAAGAAGAAGAAAATCAAATATTTTGTATTTTTTTTTCTACGAAGCTTCGTTTGAAATTGATCTAAAATACTTTAATATCAAAAACAATTTTATGTTTTATTAATTTTTTGTTTAAATTACCGCATTTTTCTATTCAACAGATAAATAAAAATTAATGCGTCTATTTTTGATAGGATGGATAATAACTAAGTTATATGGCAATAAATCTAAAAATATAAAAATATAACTACTCTTAACCATTTTCGTTGGTTAATTTATACTAAAAAATAACCTTTAAATTAAAGGTGATACCAATCAGTTGGTAAATTTTAAGGGTTATTTTTAGTTTATATTTACCTTTAAAAAATGTCAATGGTTGAATCAACTAATTGGTTAAAAAACATGTTTTAAAATATGTTATTTTACTTGGATGTTGGTTAATTTACTTAGAACAATAGTTGCATTTTTGTTAATGTTTAATTCGCAAATTGGCGCCCAGTCTTTCAAATATTTTCTACGGGTTATCGTAGAGACCACGTTGCATCCATTATTATATTATATAATATTTTATTCTGTGAATAAACAATTCAATATTATTGATGGTATATTGTTTTTTTTGCACTAACTTTATTTTGTGCTTTTAATTCTTTTTATAATGTTTTTGTTTTTCATTTTGAAATATTTATTAATAATATAAATTATTTTAAACCGGGTAATTGAAAACTGTTAATATTTAGGGTAATTGAAAACATGACATAATGATTAAAGATAACACAAACAATTTAGTTTCACTTCAGTTTTGTGGTGTAAGCGCACATGTGTTTTTTTATTTTATTTCTTATTTCTTAGTAAGTTTGTAAACAAATGCAAAATACCTGCAGAAGTTTTCCCCTGGGTTAACGTGGACAAACCCTAAATCTGATCTCAAGTTAAAATTAAAAAAAGTGAGGTTAAAACTGCTTCACAGCTGTCAAATTTTTAATTCCTTAAGGACCCCACTAGTCGCACAGTATACTATTATCCAACTTCAAAAAGACACAAGTAAGTAGACTACCTCATTTAATTTTATATTGTGTAAAACTGGCTACAGATAAAAAATTATATGATTCTTTAGGCAAACCTTTTTTTTAATTATTATTTAATTTAATTTTTGGCACTTACCTGTTTGTGCATTTCAACGTTTAATCCGTAGGACATTTCATAATACTGAAAAAGAAACAAAATGTAAAAAATATAAATAAAAAGTACTTATAGTATCATTATTTTTCAGGAGTTGGTAACACAATTTCTATAGGTAACCTAGCCAACCATTTCTTTATAAAGTAGAACTCTACTCCGATTTAATACGAGTATTATATGCAACCCATTATACATTTTAAGATGTGTACTCACTCACAGCAACTAATTAATATTTTAAAAAAAGCACCGTCGCGGAGGATTCATAAAATGTTGTTTAATAAAAATATTAAGTTAATTTTCAAATGACATTTGATTTGATCATCAATATTAATTATTACTATTAATTGTGATTTCGGATAAAATTTAATATGCACCTCGGCAATAAAGTCATTTTTTGTCACACGTGGTTATTTCCCTCGGCTTTCGCCTCTGCAAATAATTTCCAAATTCGTGATAAAAAATACGACTTTACTGCCTTGATACATAAATAACTATTTTGTGCAAATCGTGTAAAAATTGCGTCGTTCTTTTCACAGAATAAAACTTTATTGATCACTAAAATTTTAAACGGTTTTCTTGAAAAATTTGCTATGCGTAGGTACGGCGTGTTAAGTATCTTGCTATAAAAAAGCTCGATTTGAAAATTTGAAATGCCTTTAAACACTAGCTAAATACTTATGTTTCAAAATGAACAGTGTGTTGTAAATGTTATTCTGCATGCGTGTTTGCCATTGTAAAAAGCTAAAAGTTGCAATAAATTAATTTAATATGCCACATAATAAATTTGGTTTTATATGATCCACAAAGTATAAAGTATTTTAAATTAAAATTTACAGTGAAATTATTGCATTAAATTCCTGCATGCATATATATATATATATATATATATATATATATGTATGTTAAATTATGTTATTAATATTAATATACTATAAGTACAAATGGGTATGTATTTATAGTGTATTTATTAATAAATTTGGCCAATTATTTATCGATATTTAATTTTAATAATGTTTATGTTTACGTTTAAGTCTATAAATATAATTATTATAATAATAATTTTAATTGGTTTTCGTGGAATCACTTTATAATTAATATTAAATTAATAATATTACTAAATATAAATAAATTTAATGTGCTGAACATTTGAGGTTATTGTTATTTTTTGATGATTTATTTAAAATAAATATTAATAATCCAATAATTGGGTTCCGATTTAATTCAATTTAATAACCAATTTTGGTGATAAATTTTCCATAATAAACCGAAAATATGTAACTAGCTTTAACAATGTATTCAATTAGTTAATAACCAATAAATATACAAATTAATACCATAAATTACTAAAATCAAAAACGAAACACAGTATGCTTTTAAAGGCCCAGGAAACTGTTTTCGGTAATTTGTGACTAGGCGAAAAATATACTCCATCTGTTGTTCTTCCTTGGTTTTATTTTAAATAAGACCAACACTTTTCACGAAATTAAAAGTAAACCGTATCAGATGGCCAATTCTGAGGTGGTAGTTTAAGATATTCTTCACTTTTACATTTTCCTTCAATAATAAGGACATCAAAGAATAATCTGGCTCAGTAACAATATTTTCTATAGTAAGAGCATTTTCCATATTTTAATCAATGGTGCGTGGTAAATGAAGCAATTTTGGAACCTCTTAAAATGAGTGAGTTAAAAATAACTAATTTTAGGTCGTGTTTGACTAATTATCATGGCGAAAAAGCAGTCACTAATTACTAGTCAAATGCTATTGAATAAAGTAGTCAAATAAGTAGATTAAAGTTTAAAATGTTTTTTCATTGTGCCGGGGTTTGAACCAGGGTCTCTCGGTTATCAGTCGGATGTCTAATCGCTGAGAAAAAAAGCTATATTTTTGCTTTTATAAAATGTTTAACCAGGAAGCTAATGGGATTTTACAATTTATAAATTATGTATATTTCCTTACCATAACGTAATGTCTTTGAATCTCAATTTTTTCACTTGCCAGTTTTTCGCATTCCAATTTTAAACTGAAACAAAAATGTTAAAAAATGAATACAAATCTTAAAATATATATTTTTTTCTACTCCCACCTTTAAAACGTCCGTTATCGTACAGGTTTCCATGACACTAAGTGGTTTTTATAATACACATTGACAATTTGTGAATTTATAGCGTTTTAGTCACGGGCTGAAGTTAGTTTTAAGTTAGTTGACAGTTGTCAAATGTCATACAATCGTTAAAATAAAGTGCCCTTCTTGTAAAATAATACTATACTATAAAATTATTTTATTATTTTATTAATATTACAAAAGTATTAAATAGTTTCTTAACGCCAATGTTTGTAAAGTATATATGAACATTGTACTGACCTTTTTCATTTTCATTACTTTCACTGTAAATATGTCTATATCGGATTAAACGGTCCATTTTTAAGGAAAAAATTTTGATCTACAGATAAAAATTTTATATTTGAGATTCCCAAGTTGGTTACTCTATTGTTTTATAGATGTCGCTCCATAAAAATATTTAATTAAAATCATTTTTAGATAATAATAAGTCGTAGCAAAAATGGATAGCGTTTATCAAAAAGGAACCAAGCGCCAAAAACTTTTCCTGAGGTAAACAAAATTATTTGCAAAATAACTTATTTTTAATGCTGCTCAAAAAATTAATAACGATTTGGGAACCCTCTCAATTTTTTTGAGAAAAGTTCCAACCTTTTGAGCATTATTAAAAATGAGTTATTTTACAAATAATTTTACTAAACCCAGAAAAACTGTTTGGCGCTTGGTTCCTTTTCGATAAGGGTTATCAAAATATAGTATGCAACTCGTTTATAAACTTTTCTAGACACATATTTAATTAAGCACTCGCTCGCAAGGTCGCTCGTGCCTAAATTAAATTCGTGTCTAAAATGGCGTTAATCAAACTTGATACATAATATACTTATACTTTGTAATAAATAATTTTTACACATATGTGTAAAAATTATTTTATTAACTCAATCCAAAAATACAAAAGTAATAAATAGTTTCTTAACGCCAATGTTTGAAAAGTATATATGAACATTGTACTGACCTTTTTAATTTTCATTATTTTAACTGTAAAAAAATTGCGTCTATATCGAATTAAACGGTCAGATTACAGATAAAAATTTGACATTTGAGATTCCCAAGTTGGTTACTCTACTGTTTTATAGATGTCGCTCCATAAAAATATTTAATTAAAATCATTTTTAGATAATAATAAGTATTTATCGTAGCAAAAATGGTTAGCGTTTATCGAAAAGGAACCAAGCGCCAAAAACTTTTCCTGAGGTAAACAAAATTATTTGCAAAATAACTTATTTTTAATGCTGCTCAAAAAATTAATAATGATTTGGGAACCCTCTAAATTTTTTTAAGAAAAGTTCCAACCTTTTGAGCATTATTAAAAATGAGTTATTTTACAAATAATTTTACTAAACACAGAAAAACTGTTTGGCGCTTTTCGATAAGGGTTATCAAATGCAACTCGTTTATAAACTTTTCTAGACACATATTTAATTAAGCACTCGTTCGCAAGGTCGCTCGTGCCTAAATTAAATTCGTGTCTAAAATGGCTTTTTTTCTAATTAAAAAAGTATCATCGTAGTTTAGAATAATTCATTTAATTTAAATTTAATTTTTACCTATCATCAATCTTGTCAATTTTCATTTATACCTATCAGTTTCAGCGATAAAGATAAAATATACAAACAAATCGATAGCGACAGCCCACCCTAATGTTAGTAAGTTTATTTAGCTATATTATGGACTGACAGCGCTAAAACTTTAATGAAAACCTATTAAAATTATATTATAGCGCTTACACGCCAGACAATTGAGGACGCCAATTGAAAATTTAATTTATTTATCAAATAAGTAATTTCACCAAAATGTCAGTAACTATGATATAAATATAATAGCGTTAACCATTAAAAAATAATATTTTTATTAGAAATTATTTTTTATGTTTTAACTTTTATTTGCTTTGTTTTTTTTAACATAATGAAATTTAAATAAATATTTGTTTTATTTTAAAATAAAATTTTAATTAAATATTCCATACATACCATATGTACATACATAATATTTATTAAAATCATATTTACACAATTATTACTAAATATTGCGATTATGTATATACATTTGTAATAAAATTAATTAAAATAAAAAAAATAAAATTTAAAAGCTTATTACTACCAATCACCATGACTTAATATCATAGTGATATTATAATACTAGACATGTACATGTAAACATACGTAATATGTAAGTTTTTTTATCTCAAGATAAATTATTTTTTTAGTACAACTTTTAATTATAACTTATCAACTTTATTATCCACTTAATTATAAGCTTATAAATATATTTCTTAATATTAATTAATTTTCTATTTATTAGAGATTGTATCGTAACATATAATTGCTTTATGATAAATCTAAAATGCGCTTTATGTAGGTAGATATTTAAAAGGTTATAATTTAACCTTTTAATTTTATTATGCGACAAAATGAGATTTCTTGTTTGCACCAGGGTGGCAAATAACTTTTTTAGGGTAATTTGCGCTGGTTCAAAAAATGACCACCACTCTGCTTAATTAGCTCTTGTTTTTAGATTTTGTGAAAAAAACCGTTTGTTAATTTTATTTTGTAAAATTTTAACATAAGTTTTTTATAGTATAGAAAACCAGGGTGTGTAATTATTTTAACAAAGAAAAATATTTTACCGAAAGTTTTGTAAAGGTAATGTGCAATTTTGTAAGCATTTTGTTAATTTCAAAGGTTACAGATTATTTTTTTAATGTTTAACAAATTATTTCGTTAAAAAGTACAAGTGATTTCAGGCATCAACAAGTTCAGCTGACTTCAGCGTCTGCAACTTATGTTTCTACTTACTTTATTGTATAGATTATAATTATAATTCATAACTTTTATAATATATTACCAGAAATCTGTTATTATTGTTATTCGGATTTCTTATACCTATTTAACAAGTGTGCATTGTGCGAAGTATAAAAAGATGCCATCACTGGGTTAAAGTTACGAAATACAACAGTAAGTAAGTAAGTAAGTGTTGTAGTAGTACTGATAATTATATTGTACCAAATTTTTTATAATTTTATGTTATCAGAATGGTGTGTAATTTAATTGTGTTATTGTGTTATTTTTGTGTTCATTTATGTAGGTATTTGTTAATTTTTTTGTTTAGGAAATTGATTAATAAGGCAACATTTCTTATCAAACTTATTTTCATTTAAGTTCCCAATTTCCAACAAATACTTTTGTTACTGGTTCTACAAAAAGGTTTGTAAAAATAAGATCCTTTTTGAAAATTACAAGATTTATGGTTGAATTATTGACAGGATTTTGTTATTAAATCTACAAAATGTTTGTTATAATTACAAACTACCTAATCAATTAGTTAACAGATTACAGTTGGTTGTAAACTTAACATGTGGACCTGGATTAACATAAAATCTGGTTAATATTTGGTTAAAATTAACAAATATTTTGTTACTGTGTAAAACATATAAAATATAGAATTGGTTAAAATGTCCTGTATATTTTACATCGTAAATTCAAATCAATCTTGCTTTTAATACAAATAACTAAAAAAAACATAATTAATTACAATTACATTTTTTTTATAAAATGTTTTCCAAATTAACCAATTTAAAGGTTCCCTTGCTGAATAATTACCATCTTTAAAAAGTTATTTAAATGTTATCCCCATAGTAGCATCCTCATCAATAAAACGGTTTGACATAAAGTATATTGGCAGTAAAACAAGTATTTCTACTTCTGTAGTATGACCAAGGAATCTAGACACTCGAGAGATAACAAAGTAACATGCTACCAAGTTTTTTTTATATGGATCTCTAGTGTCGATCGAGACTTGTTTTGTTGCGGTACAATTGAAAGCGATAAACATTAACAACAAAAACAGAGATTAACGATCTAAAGTCGTACTTTTTTTAAATACTACTGACTACCTATATGGTAAAAACTTGTGCATTGAAAATGCAATTAAACGGATATTTATGAGATTTTTTTAATTGAATTTCCTAAGCGTAAAAGTGTCATGTAGAAATTGATTGTATTTGTTTGCAATAAAACTGCATGCAAAAGTTAGAATCTCATCTCTAATATTTTATTAAATCGAGCATGTTTTAATAGTATATTCTGTATTAAGTTTGATAAACGCCATTTTATACACGAATTTAATTTAGGCACGAGCGAGCTTGTGCTTAAATTAATGAGTGTATAGAAAAGTTTATAAACGAGGTGCATACTATACTTTTTCTACGACAAATACTTATTATAATTAGGTTGTTGATTAGAAAGCCATTATCCAGAGTGTAGTTCATGATTAAAACAAGAGTTAGTTGTACTTTCTGAATATATTAATTAATATATTCAGAAAGTACAACTAACTCTTGTTTTAATCATGGACTTATTATAATCTTAAAATGATTTAAATCAAAAATTTGTATAGAGCGCCATCTATAAAACAATAGGGAAATTTGTTGTCACCGTCAAATGTCACATTTTTATATTTTATAAACACAGATTATAAAGGTTATAAATCAAAATGTATTTCTTGAAAATTGACAGTTTTTCACAGTAAAGTAAAGAAAATGTTTTATGAGCACTTTACAGTGGAGTCCGTGCCCAAATTTAAGTTACAGTTTACTGCCGGCGAAATTAAAATGTCAGTACAATGTTCATACCTATAAACTTTTCAAATATTGGCGTTGAGAAACTATTTAATACTTTTGTATTTTTGTATTAAGATAATAAAATAATTTTCACATTTAGTATTATTTTACAAGAAAGGCACTTTATTTTAACGATTGTATGACATTTGACAACTGTCAACTAACTTTAGCCCGTGACTAAAGCGCCATAAAGCCATAACTTGTCAATGTGTATTTTAAAGGTCACTTAGTGTCATGGAAACATGTACGATAATGGGCGTTTTAAAGGTGGGAGTAGAAAAAATAAATTAAAACACTTACTTATGATACTGAGCCTGTAAAAAGTTGAATTCTTCTTTAATCCTATCACATGATTCACCCACTGTAAATTTAAAGGGTTGTCCAGGCTGGGGTGGACCCTATAAGAAAAAAATAAAATAAGTGCTTAAAAAACAAGTCAAAATGACAATTTTTATTTAAATACAAAAACCTTTTTATATGAAATAAAGCAAAAATTAAGGAAAAAATGTATACAATGTATACCCTATAGGGTTAAACTTTAAAGACAATTTACAATTTTGAACCTTTGAGACAATCTACATGGACCCTGCAGATTGTCCCTGGAAATTACCGTTTGGCCACTTTTAACATAAAGCAAACAAATTTTAAAAGTACCTTAAAACGTGGCAAATAAAAACAATTTGTTTAATAAATCATAATTTTTTTAATTTTTATAATTGCCAAATAACAAAAGGTTTGAGAAAAGATCTAAAGAATTATTTTTAATTAATCAATCTTTTTTATGGTATATTTTTTTTAATTTAATTTTAGTTTTAAACTAACCTCAAAGTAATATTTTAATGAAAATCAAATAATGGAAGGACAAATTCACACAGTAGTTCAGAATTAAAAAAATATGGGGAAAATTTGAACAGGAGAATAAAAATGGTAGGAACTGTTTTTAAAAATGTACAAAATTTTCAAAATTTTAACATTTTTTAAAATTTAAAGCGTCGGAAGCATAGCTTTTGTCGTGCGTCCACTAATCAACACCTGTTTTTTTAATAAAAGTGTTCACCCCTTAATACTCCAGAGCCAAACTGTATTATGTTCACTTTACATATCACATTACACATTTTATCGTTCTTTCCAATGGTAAACAGGATTAGGTCGTGGCTTACTTAGATGTATCAAAAACTAAGTAAGCCAGGAAAAAAATTTATATAATAAGTATTTTCAAATTTTGTATAGGTAAAAACTTTCAGAAGTATACCAGCAATCCATTGCATATTTTTTTTTAATTTGTTAATTTTGAAAGACCCAGGAATTTGGTTAATAGTAGAGACCGGGCTTTTAGGCACTCAAAAATTAAAACGCAAAATAGGTACAAAAAGGCAATAAAATTGTTTTAAACAACACAAATGATTTAAATAAAAAAAACTAATTTAAAAAAAGCATTGCATTTTTTAAAGATTTTTTAGGCAAGGTTTAGGCATTTAGATCAAAAAAAGCAAAAATGCAAAAAATAAGTTATATTGAACTTAAAATTTCCTGAACACATTTTGCCTAAATAATTTTTAACGGTCTTTTAAATTTGACGATAGCCATTTGGCCTAGAATCCGGTCTCTATAGTTATTAGTGTTAGAACTATTTTTGAATATTTGCGTGACGTCATACTTTTGTAAACATACATTCCATTAGTAAAATGATTTAGGTATACTTTACCACAATTTTTATTATAAATTTTCGACATATGTAATACGTATTATGTACATATGTAGGTGCAAAAAAAATGTGTTTATAGTGTTAAATTAATATTGACATAATTATGTTAACTTAAATTTACAAAGTTGTCAGGTCAAGATTGTTATAATATATTTAACTCTTAAAATTCCACTTTTAACATAGATAATTTGTAACCGCATTTTTTTAAATTTCAGCCAAAAAAATTTAAATGTGTGATGATGTAAGAACTCAAATAAAATGCGTTAAAAACAAAGGTAGGTATTTAAAAGATTTATGAAGCAAACTTAAAAAAAAAACATATAATTGCTCTCCATCAGCAATCAATTAAGAAAAATGAGATTGCTCGTTTGATAGTTATTCGGCTACCGCTTCTTATCTGATCCCATCGTCGACGTGATGACTATGAAGTCTAGATACAAAGATGTTCTACAAGATAGCAGCCTCGCATTCATCTTTGCTAATCGCTTCTGTTAAGTCACGGTTCAATATTTACGATACGACAACCTTATTTATTGCGCCACAAAAGTATACGCTCGATTCGGCTCGAGAGTTTTATTTTGTCAATATCTCATTTAATGATCAAATAATAAATTGTATTGGACATAGGTAGTTTCAACACAATAAAATACTATTAGTAGAAAATAATATATTAAAATAATATTTTATTTGACCAACAGAAAATACATTCCAATTAAAGAACAAAAATGTACTATTATATACAAATAGAGAACATTTTACACTGTTATAAAAATCAAATTTGTTAACATGAGTTTGTAGTTTTTTAATTTAATTTTTTTAACCAGGGTTTGTAATTATTTTAACAAAGAAAAATATTTTACCGAAAACATTTTGTTAATTTAAAAGATTACGGATTGTTTTGTTAATGTTAAACAAATTCTTTCGTTGAAAAGTACACTTGATTTCAGGCAGCCAATCAAAGCATTTCGGCCATTTCAAGCGGATGGACGGGACAAATCACAAAACTGTTTTTATAAAAAAAATTGTAGGTAATTTATTATATATTATTTTTGCATCAAAATTGTCAAATATATTCTACTATTATTAGGCTATACATTAAATAAAAAAAATCGCAAGAAATATTTTATAAAAGTAGAGATAATTTCAATAATTGACAGGGGATGGACGGGACAAGATAAATCTTTTTTTTGTCCCGTCCACACCTTTCAATTATTAAAATTATATCTACTTTTATAAAATATTTCTTGCGTTTTTTTTTATTTAATGTATAACCTAATAAAAGAAGAATATTTTTGACAATTTTGATGCCAAAATATTATATAATAAATAATCTACAATTTTTTTTATAAAAACAGTTTTGTAATTCGTGCGTTTCGCGCGCTTGAAATGGCCGATTTCCCACCGACAAAACGCATCAACAAGTTCAACTAACTTTAGCATCTGCAACTTATGTTTCTGCTAACTTTATTCTAATTCGTAACGTGTTTGTAACAACTGCTCAGAGTGTTTATAATATATTACTAGAAATCTGTTATTATACACTCACAGGCAAAATAATCGATCCACACAAATTTTCGATGAATTTCAATCGCAAATAACTTTTTTATTTGATGTCGGATTTAAACGAATAATAAAGAATATTGTAGATAAATTAATGCAGAAACACTCACACTTTAAATTTTTACTAAAAAAGGATGTACGTTTATAATATACAGGTTTAAACAAAAAGAAATTTTTTACCATAACTTTAAGTGGCTAAACCGTATATTGTTCTAAATAAGGTTTTAATTATCAACTCACATCTATTCTTAACAATTTTGTTTTTGATTTACCTCGATATATTTATTTTTGTGAAAAATATGGATTTAAAAAAAAAACATTGCAATTTCCAATATTATTTTTGAACTAAGGTTGCTATGGTCCATCCATAGGCTATGGAGGACGACAAATCATTAATAAGTATATTAAACCGCAATGGACCCAAATTTGATCCCTGAGGGACTCCAGACGTAGGAAAAAAACAACTAGACCTAAGACCATTAAAAAATACTTAGTTATTAAATGAGTGATTTTAGATTATGATGCTCTAAATAAATATTTTATCATGTATTTTTATTAGGTTAATGAAGCATGAAAAAATACAAAATTAAAGGTTTAAAGTACTTTTCAATCGCGCCAATCGCAAATAGATGGACTCCTGAGTAGTTTAAGCATACGATTAAATACTAAAAAAAAACTATAGTACAACTGCCAACTAGGCAACCTACTACTATCCATATATAGTAGTAAAAAACAAAATTAAAAAATCGTATTTTAATTAGCAAGCAATAAACTGTATTACCCAACACTTTTATAAATTACACAAACAAGCTTAATTTGATATGCATTGAATTTAATGACATAAAATTAATGCGTTTGATAATTAATTATATTTATGTTTATACACTAAAATAATTAAATATTGAGTGGCAATGTAGGTTCAATTATATATTTTGAACATTTACTGTGTATACACGTATACGTTTAATTAAAATTCTATTAAAATGTATGCACATACCTATGTAAACAAGCATTTTTTTATGTTTGCTTACACTGTTAACTGGACATATTATTATGTAATTAAATTGAAACTGGCTGTATTTCCGAATGTTATTAAAATCAATATACGTTAATGTATTGTGTTTACGAATATGTATGTAAATACCTAAATATTAAAACGTAGATTTGAATTAGTTGTTAACAAAATGTTAATAAAAGTATTAATGTTTTATTACAGTATAGAAAGAACAGTAGTCACTCCCGCTAATTATTCATGAAATAGTGTCTGCTAATTAATACGTTTTACAAACCGCGGAGAGTCGAGCCGCTTAGTAGGTACTTAGTCTGTACTGCCCTTAGCTATACTGTGATTTTATTTTACAGTGATCCATGGATTTAAAAAATAAAAGTTTTAGTTTTTTAAGCAATACAATAGGTACCACTTTTTGACGTAATTTTTCAGATTTTATAGGCTTGCAAGAAATTATCCCCATAAGATTTACCTTTAAAATGTGTTATTTTTATACCCAATTTAAACTTTAAAATTTTAGCATGTTACTCTTATGATAAGAGTCTTATCATTAGAAGAAAGAAGACAAAATTGATTTTTTTTAAATCGTCGTTTGGTGAAAGTGTAATTTATTTTTGTTCCACAGTGGACAATCGGAAAAGAAGTTACATACTTTCAGCTTCGAAACCCCTTTCACATGATATGTTCCATTGAAAAAAATGTGACCCTTTTACTTTACACCCTTTTGAAATTTGTTTAAAACTTTTGAAGTCAAAAAGTGGTATTTATTATTTTAATAAACATACTAAGATTTACTGTGTGTATTTTATAAACGGACTATTTCTAATGGTCATAATAATAAATTTTGTTTAAAGTCCATAAGGAAACTAAAAAGTAATAACACTTGTGATCAAATTCCTAGTTTTCTTATCGCCTGTCTTTTTATGTAGTCCACTTTTGTACATCTGTAATAACTTCTTTCACTGGTAAATTTACTGACATGTGAAAAAAAAAACAAGGATAGTTCCTTTACATAAATCTGGTGATAACTTTTTGAAGGTATTTGAGATGTCGGTCCAGTCATATCTATAACAGCGTTAAAAACTATATTACCCCCACTCAACATGCTTTTATGCATAAACGTT